TTTAAAATGATGTACACAATGTTTATATGTTTAAAATGATGTACACAATGTTTATATGTTTAAAATGATGTACACAATGTTTATATGTTTAAAATGTTGTACACAATGTTTAAATGTTTAAAAATAAATAATTTGTATCATTTCTGGTTGTTTATTTCACTGTTTTTTTTACTTTGTTTTTAAAATATTAGCATAAAAAATGACTATTCTTTATTTTCCATCATATGCTTCTTAATTTTACCTTAAGGTATAAAACAACTAATAAGAATATATATTAGAAAAAAATGAGGTTGGAACACATTTTTTTGGAATCAACCTTAATTTGTTGTCCATATGAACCGTTACCATAGATTAATAAAAACATATATAGATAACTAGATTTAGTCTTTGCGTTCACAATAACCCTGAGGCAGAAGCCAAAAGGAGTTTCGCGCATGCAACGTTGAATTACAAGACAGATAAAAAGCCGTTTCTACGCCCCATGCGCGTGACTCCTTTGGGCCTCTCTCTCAGGGTTAATGTGAACGAAAAACCTTTAAATCTTTAAAAGACAATATTTAGTGTTCTATCTGTGTTATTATTTATCTATGATATAAACACATCATAATGTCATGTAATAAAGGGAACAATGTTAAAATTTTGCAGACTCTTATTATCATCTTCGTAAATCTAAATTAAAAACTAAAAAAAAGTCTGGAATATAGAATCTACTAAATAATTTGCTTTCTGAAAGTTAAAGGAAAAGTTTAGATTGGTCGGAAGTGAAAAGAGGAGAATGTACCACAGAGATCCAGAAAGCTCTGAAAATTGTGCATCATTTTAAATACTAGTTCGACTTTTAAGTGTCGCAACCGTGACCCTTGGTTTTGCCTTAGTAACTCAATTATACGTTTTTGTAGCCCTAGATATCTACATTTTATAAATACAACAAGCTTGTTTTGAACTTCAGCTAAAACGAAATAAATGGCAAAATGCAGATAGATTTTTACGCAAAACGATGAAACCGTGCCCATTTCAAATCATTGTGCTGGGGAAATATTTTAAACTATTCAAAATTTATGCAATATTTTACATTCTTTTCATCCCGTCTTTAATATTAATCAAACTGAGTTGATTCTCGACTCAGGCAGGATTTTAGATCGAAAGTCTTGTTAATGTTTAATAAAATAATGATTTTAATTCACCTATAGCTAATACACATGTTAAAATTTATTTAACACAAAACAAAGAAATTGTAACGGATCATACTGTATTAGTTTGATGTGCTGGCTTTAATTTGTGAACATTTACATGAATTTCCGTTGTGAATCGGGCGTTACCATCTTAACTTGGAAGGTCACTTGAAATTAAGCTTATAGTCCCTTCAAGTATCTGTTTAGAATCCAGGAATCTATCTAGTAATTTCCCAGTTAATTGCCTCTACAGTATTCCATGCTTGTGGCCTGGGACTGATTGGGAGAACAATTCTAACATTCTTTTAATTTACTTTTAAACATTCAATTTTGCAACAGTCATTACTGAAGGGCGTGTAGACGTACGGAACTTTAAATAAACGGGAGGTGTCACCATTTTTCTTAAAAGTTTGTCTTTTTTCTCTTTCTTTTTTTCCAAACAAAAATCATCATTAATTTTGTACATACTATTACAGTTTTATCTTTTCTGTTCGTTTCTCTTTCTTTTAACCTTTTCCCTACATGAACTCAGCTAGAAGACTAATACAAGAATGTGTGTTTTAAAGCTAAATAATCGGAAGGGTAAACATCAGCAATGGAAGTTACGAGACAGAATTTAACCTGAACATGTCATTTCAATTTAGATTTAATTTCAGAATTTAAACTTTTTAATTTTCTAAAAGCATAGCACACCATTAGAGATAATTTTACAAACTTTTAACAATTTTTCAAATGTCCTGTGTTAAAAATGATTAAAATAATTTAGTTTGGGAAGAAATTATGGAGTACTAGCGGAGACCTCTTTTCCTCAAAGACACCGGTCATGCCCTTGCCCATGCACCCCATCTTATCGGACACCCCTAGATTTTCTAGGATTTTATTGTGAGATTGTTTCAATCGGATTTTTAAAATATTTTGCGTCTTCAATATTTTGAGTCATACCATTTTAAAAAGTGAAACTGGCAAAAAAAGTGTGAATAAAAGATATACGAAACGTCTATGTTTTAAGGCCGGTCGACGACGAAGTTTAGAATGTTTTGCAATACAATAATTAAACTAAATAATTTTGTTTCCGTTGAGTTTTCCAT